GAGGGGGGCACTAAAAAAGGTGGAAGGCACGTTCAAATGTAAGAAATGTGTTCATGGTGTGATTAATAGGACGGACGCAAGGACGGAGTTGAGTGGTGGTATTGAAAGAGTGGAAAGCTTTGTTTATTTAGGGGTTAATCTGAACGCGGATGGAGGATGTTTGAGCACTGTTACGGCAAGAGTTCGTGTGGGATGGATAAAGTTTAGGGAACTGGGTGGGGTATTGTGTGGAAAGAAATGGTCAGTGAAGATGAAAGAGAGGATATATAAAGCATGTTTGAGAGCAACGATGGTATATGGTGGTGAAACTTGGGTGTTGAGGAGAGAGGAGGAAAGTGTACTGCAGGCTGAAAGAGCTATGGTGAGGATGATGTGTGGGGTTAAAGTGAAGGATAGGAGGAGTAGTACAGAGCTGATGTCGATGATGGGACTGAATGAGGATATTGTGACATTGATAAGGAGATCGAGATTGCGGTGGTATGGACATGTGTTGAGAAGGGATGAAAGGGTCGGGATTAGGCGAGCGTTGGAGTTCGAAGTTGAAGGAGTGATAGGAAGGGGTCGTACGCAATTGAGATGGAGAGAGCAGGTGGAGAAGGACAGAGTGAAGCCAAACGGCAACCCCCGATCTCGGGGAAAATGTCGTCTAAACGTGTGTTTGTTTGTGTTTGTTTGTGATAGAAACAATAAACTAATCCAAGTAACTACATGATCCACATATACAACTTCGCTTTCTCTGCTGTAAACCTGACTGCAAGGCCTATATATGGCTGATTCTCACGATCAAAAGATTAAAAATATAGCAAAGATAACAATAATTAGGATAACAAATAATATAGCGCAATTTGACCATTCTCCCGGTTAAAACAGTATGTAAGTTTGTAAGCCTTTCTAGATCTGGATGACAACGCGAAAATGTTGCGCAATATATTTTTTTTAGTTTTATTATTGCAGCCCTGACATACGCAGAACCACTTACAATGTTGCATATATAGATTATGTTCTTCATATCTTCAACCATTGATTTGAAGCATCCATCTTTTGCCACAAATGCTGTTTATCCTTTTCACACGACGTACACATGGATTTTAGGCGCACGCGCAAGCACCGCATCATATACGCTGAGTATATGTTAGCCATTGAGATGTTTGACTAGCGAGCATTTGAACCACTGAGCCACCTCGCCGGCCAACATGCGACAACTTACGTTGTCTACCCATTTACCAGCCTCGAAAGGATGGACGGCTGGGTTAGCCGGGGGTCGGCTACCCGGATGAACCTGTAGAAACTACAGGATTCGAACCCGGGTCGTAGGAGTGGTAGACGGACACGCTAACCACTCGGCCACAATATTGTAAATGGATGCTGGTGGAACACAAAAGCAAAAAACTTTCCCAAATCTGATATTATTAAATATCTAAAATTGCCTTTGAAAATTTTCAACATTTCAGATGGTACCAGGTGAATTATCAAATGGCAGGGGAATTAAAATGGGGAAAAAACTTGGGTTGTGATTTTGCAAAATCAAGCTGTTCGCAATGGATTCTCAACAAGATGAATAAGTTAGTGTATGTTGGACTCAGTTCACATCTTTTCGATTTTGAATAACTACCTAAATTTATGTGCAACCATTTTGTTAGCATTATTAAGTAATCAAATACATCTAACACACACTTAAATTGAAAATGTTGAAAAATGGTTGACTAAAAAAATATTAAAATATTAAATTGAATGAATCTTTTACCAGTAAAAGAAACACCTACCCATATTTAGGTTAATTTATTAAAACAACTTACAAGTCATAGTTTTTAATAGAATGTATTTTTGACAGCCCCATTTAATTTTTTTCCAAAAATCGTTCGAATAAAATAAAACTATTGATCATTATTTAAAGTCCAATTGATCCTTTTTTCGTTATCACGTGGTGAGACAATGTTTTGACCGATGACTAAAAATGAGGGTAATTAATATAAGGTGTTAGAAAATGTGAGTTATATCTCATATAATAATTAATGTATATGCATCAAACAATCGGCCAATATTTTTTAGAATTTAAGTTTTAATCTTATCGAATTATCCAGCTTCCTTCTTATGATATAAGGTTTTCTTTATGACACATGCTGTTAAATACCATATATCTTAAGTCTCTGAAGATGGTAATTTGTTGAAACGGTAATTTTAAATAAAGAAATGTTTCATGTTTCTCAATAAATACAAATAGTAAACAATTACTCGTTGTTTAAAACGTATTTGAAAAACCATTGGACTAGAAATAAGGTGTATATATATATATATGTAATGAAGGATTTTCACTTCATTATGAATTGAGTTATGGTATACAACGTTATTGTGTAAATTGTGAAACGTTTGACAGATTAAATTTAAGTTTTTGTTTGAGTTGAAATTATTTGGATATTTTGAATATTTCTTAAGTTTATAGTTAATAAAACTCCGCTATATGCACAACATTTCTAAGTCATTACGAAGTACGCCGCTTCAGCGAGTTTTTATTTATTTGTGAATAATGTTGGATGTTAAATCTTACTACTAAATGTGGTCTGTTGCAGATGGTAGTGTGACTAGTAAGCATACTAACTATTAATAATATAACCGCCGATATATATATATATATTGTCGGAAATTTTAAATGAAAACAACTGGTGTGAGGTAATCTCCTCCTCTATCTTTCTCAGGGAATTTTTTTTTTGGTCCGACAATAATTTTTGTGTATATTTTTATCGTGAGTTCGACCAGTCCTGTGTGGCACTGGGCTTTTTCGAATTATATGATTTTACTGAGTAACACACGAACGCGTAAAAATATTCGATAACAATTTTATTAATCGACGGAAGTAAATGAAAAGGAATTGAACTAAATAATGTAAAATGTCAATGAACAAACTGGAATACAGGAATTAGAACTTCTTCTTGTTGGGTCTTCGACTTGGTTTATGTTTCTTGCCGTTTAATCGTACAACCATACAACGTGTGTAACCGATAGTGATGTCGTTACAACTCCAAGAAATAAATAAATTGAATGCGGAAAAATTACAAAAATCGGAGCCTATGGAAATTGCAAGCTGCGTGTATAATGAGTATAGAATCCAAGGGACGACCAAGGGACTGTTTTCACTGGGCCTGTCTGTCAGTCGGTCGGTCGGCTTTCGCACAACCCTGGCCTGTTTTCACTGGGCCGTCGAGTCTGATCGGCTTTCGCACGACCAAGGGACTGTTTTCACTGGGCCTGTCTGTCAGTCGGTCGGTCGGCTTTCGCACAACCCTGGCCTGTTTTCACTGGGCCGTCGAGTCTGATCGGCTTTCGCACGACCAAGGGACTGTTTTCACTGGGCCTGTCTGTCAGTCGGTCGGTCGGCTTTCGCACAACCCTGGCCTGTTTTCACTGGGCCGTCGAGTCTGATCGGCTTTCGCACGACCAAGGGACTGTTTTCACTGAGCCTGTCTGTCAGTCGGTCGGTCGGCTTTCGCACAACCCTGGCCTGTTTTCACTGGGCCGTCGGGTCTGGTCGGCTTTCGCACAACCAACACAAAACAACAAGAGCCAGAACAACACTGGAAACAAATTGTGTGACTTTAGTACGCGTGCGAAATTATGCCAATGAGCATAGAGTCTCGTACCAAATCCACTTTTGAGAACTTAAGACGTTTCTGAAACTATGCCAATGAGCATAGAATCACGAATTAAGTCTCTTAGATACCAGAATAGGCACCAATTATTCGAAGCTGCCTAACTGGTGAACCCAAGGCGGACTCTTTTTGAGAACTTAAGACGTTTCTGAAACTATGCCAATGAGCATAGAATTACGAATTAAGTCTCTTAGGGTTAGGGTCTCTTAGACCAGAATAGGCACCGATTATTCGAAGCTGCCTAACTAGTCAACCCAGTCTCTCCTCTCTTCCACACCCTTCCTTATCAAAGCAAAATTAGATTTTGTTTCGGGTGTTTTAAAACATAAAAATTTCCAAGGTATGTCCAATTAATCAAAAAAAACAACCAATTAAATTTTAAAATAATTTGTAATAATTTATGACGTCATCTAAATTGCAAAACAAAAAAAATCGTCGTCACCTATCGAGTAAATTAACTTGCACCATGTCCCCTATCGAGTGAATAAATTTAGCGTTGAAAACTTTGAAGTATTTTTAGTCAATATTATTTCATAATTCTGACAATATATATGTTGTTATATATGATTTAAATTCTGTCATACTATTCAAATTTTTTATTAAATTATTTTATTAAATATTTTTACATGTTAAAGAAATGAAAGCATCCATCCGTTCTGTAACCACTTGAAGACTAATGTTATCAAGACTGAATGCACTGAAGACCTTTCATCTGTGGGTGTTTGTAATTTGATCAAGCACAAGCATCAGTTACCTCCTGTCTACAGGGTTAGTTATTTTGCTTTTTTGAGGGGTTTTGTTCATTTTTTTACCAATATTAAATATAAAAAAAAATTAATTTCATCCAAACTTATAAATTTTCTTTGCAATGAAGGCTATATATTTAACTTTCATTCTATAATTCCATTTTTTTTACTCAGGGTAACTTTCTAATTTTATTTGTTACATTAAGAATATATTAAATCTTACCGATAATGAAATGGATATGTCTCACTATGGTGGGTCAGTACCTCTGGCTGATTATTGCCCATATGTGCAAGTAATTAAACGTTGTTTAAATATTTCTTCAATTTATTCATTTCAACAAATTTTATATTACATTGCAAAATTTGGAAAATAATATTTAGATTTTTTTTGACATTTTTGTTGGGACTTATGCTAATTTTTCGTGAGATTGATAATAATAATTATTATTATATAATAATATAATATTATATAATATTATATAATTATATAATAATAATAATTATTATGGGCGTGAACCCCATAACAGGACATTGCCGTGTTCACAAGATACCTCCATTCCAAGCAATCATAAGCAAGTTTCTAGGCCGAGTAAGGACCATAGTTGATGAGGGACAGGTCCTTCTCCACTGAACGAATCCATGACTGTCTTGGACGGCCGCGCGGTCAAGTCCAGTCCGGTGGCGGTTGGTCTATGACAGCTTTTAAAGCCCGGTAATGATCCTCCATATTACTGGCACGAGCTATGTGACCAAAGAAGTTTAGACGACGCCTGTACAGGAAACGGAGGGCTGCTGTGTTCTTCTTACCTCAACGTTGGTGACGCGATCGTGGTAGGTCAGACGAAGGATCCTGCGCAAGCACCATTGATCTGTAGCGTCTAGCCTCTTCAAATAAGCGTTAGTAGTTGACCACGCTTTGCATCTATAAAGTAGCACGGAGATGATGTTTGCGTTGTAAAATTGAACTTTTATCATCACTGAAATGCCCGAGTGCCATATACCACGATCTAGGGATCTCATGCACGCGCGGACAATGATGATTTGACGCGAGACTTCAGCGTCACTACTGCCTGACGAGTGTATTTGTGAAGCGAATCCACAATCTGTACGTCATTACCCAGCACAGAGACAGACGCTGGTGGCGGATCGTCCAGAGAAATTGCCTAAATTTTCGTTTTATCCCAGTTGATTTCTAAACCAAAAGGCTTCGCCTCCTCGGACATAGTAGCCAACGACAGTATGAGAACAGTATGAGAACGGATATTGAATCTAGGGGAAGGTCTTGTTTTAACCACAGTGCCCTTAAGGGAGATGGCTAAAGTGCCCACCTCCGGAGAATTATCAGTATCAAACTCCATGCCACGATACACACGACAGTTACGAACCGCCCGCCACCTGCCATTTACCAGGATATGGTCAACCTCCTTAGCCGTAACACCGTCATTTGAGTGCCACGTCAGTCCATAGATATCTGTACGGCAAAACTATGATCCTCAGCCCTAAGTTCAAAATTCCAGAAAACGGTCAGAGTTGTCGTTTGGTGAATTAAAGGGCCAATTACCGCAGGCATACGGCGATCAACACCCGTTACCGAGTTAATGTCGCCCAGGCTAATGATGAGGTCGGTGGGCCTTGTGGATCGAAACGAGTCCTCCAGTGCGCTGCAAAAGAGATCTTTGGTTTCAGCCGTCGTCTCATTAGTTGGCACGTAGCAGACAATTACTGACATAGCACCATATCGATGTCTGAAACGAGCAACCATCACTTTATCACTGATCGGTTGCCATTCACTTGGTGCACGATTAGTTTGATTGCTCAGGGCCAAGGCAACACCAGCGAGTTTGGGATGACCCTCAGCTGGGCTCAACTACAGTATATTGAAATCAGTAACACGCAGTTCCCCAACGCCATGCCATCGAACTTCCTGCAGGCCCATAATGCATATACCTTATCGCGACAATTCGTCCACGAGGATCTTTGCGCCACCCGTTGCGCGAAGTGAGCGAATGTTCCAAGAGCCGATCCTGGTGATGTCTCGCAGATCAAGCGGGTTGGTTCTAGCACGGGACCGTAAAGAGGGGTCATAAATAGGGTTATTCGCCGTAGTTCGCTTATCATAGTCGGCCGACGATAACCGAAACTGCGCGCTCCTTGTTAACCCGCGCGACGAGCGATGCGGTATGAGGTATTTTGAGACGACTCCATGTGGACAATACTTTGGCTGTAGTTGTTCCCAGTTGTTTGCCAGACAAACTTGGGTAGGTAGCAAGCCTAGTAGAGGTTGAAGCAACCATATCATCTTAAAGACGCACTACCACGCCTGATTTTCTGTTAGGGTTTACTCACTTAGCCTTTCCCTAGAAAGGATATAGCCACAAAACAGTGGAGGTTTGAAGTCAGAGTTTACCTTCTCCTAGAGGGGTGGGTAGCGAGCCCCATCAACCCGAAGCGACTAGTTTTGAGGCGCTTGTTACCTGCCTTCGCCCCTTCTCCTGTTAGTTTAAACAGTTTCGACACGAGAAGGCCAGGAGTTGGACTCTGACTGTCAGAGGTTATTTGAGACGCACGCCATGGGGATTTTAATTGTGATGACAGTTTAACACATCCCCACCTCCGGCTATGACAGTCTTTTAAAAACCTTGATAATAATAATAATAGTAATTTTTCTAATTAGTATTAGTCATATAATTTTACAATGTTATTGGTACAGTGAATTTTCGTAAAGGAATTAAGCTCTTCCACTTGAACATGACGTTGACTGGGAAGCCTTTCTGTCATTAGATAATGATTCTCAATCAAAACATAATCATTTGCCATAGGAGGTACCCTGCATAAATATATAATAAATGCCTAACGTCCCTGTTTTAAATAAAGTGTATGACTGCTATAGCAATAATATAATAGGAAAATTCCCATGTACTTATATTTCATGTTTTACTATTTTAGTAATCAACATTTTTATAATGATTGAATAATATTTTTTACTAATGCGATAATAGGAATTTAATTGGAAAGAAAATGAAAAAACGGTTAGGGGATCGAAATGTTTTGTTGATAGCAACAATCCTTGTAAGTAGCATACCTTTGTCCATTTGTTTATATTTGTTTTTCAGATTTGATATATTATTTTAAATTTTTTTATATATTATTTTAACTTAATGATGACTTGCACTTGTTCAGATAAGGCTTAAACTCAATCTTTTTAGTAAAACTAGTTGAAAATGCAGCGATGTTTATTGACAGCTGCATATACTACAGTGTTAATGTATGTAGGTATATACCATAACCAGCTGAACCAGATATTCGGCAACAAGCTGTCTACGTAGACTCCACCATATTACCTCACGAGGCACTCTGTCAAAAGCCTTTTCCAAGTCCACAAAGACATGTGGAACAGTCTCTTTTGCTTTGCCATGTATTTTTCCTGTAGTTGACGAATGATATAGATAGCATCAATGGTGGATCTCCCTGCCATGAAGCCGTGCCACTGTTCCATTCCACTGGTAGTATCGATTTACTCCACATCTCCTGACAGGTGTGTAAAAGGGCTCTGAAGCCTGCCCCACCAGATGCCTTGATGATTTCATTTGTAAGTTCAGACGGAACAGACTTTACCCACCTTCATTGCTCTTAACGCATCCGTAAGCTCCTTAGTTGTGATGCCCTGAATTGGTCCTTCCATCGGAATTTTATCAAAGTCCACCTCAATAGGATTTGTTTCATTCAATAACTAATCGAAGTAATCCTTCCAGTGATCCTTCACTTCATTCTGCAAAGTTATTATGGTGCCTTTATTATTCTTTATGCATGTGGCACCAACTATATTTTTTTTTCAGTTTTTTGGTCTGATTTGCTATTTGGTAGAGTGGCCGAATTTGTTCGCCTTTACTTCCAGTCAGCCATACCTTGCATTGATTTGCACGAACTATCGCAACCTGACATTTCGCTTCTGTGTTCTTTGATCGGTATGTCTTTCGACCCTCATCAGTCTTTGTCTTCTGCCATTGTTCGAAAGCTGCTTTCTTACTGGCAATAGCATTTTGCACCGTCTCGTTCCACCACCAAGTTTCGCGGTTGTGCTGGCGTTTTAGTCCAGATTTTCCACATACAGCTTTTACTAGGGTGTCCTAAAAAGATTTCCTGGTTATGTCTACCTTTTCTAGACGATCCAGCTGTGCCGATACCAACTCCTCGAATTTCTCCCTAAACATGGGGTTTTTCAGTTTCCATGTCTTTATTCTAGTAGGCATTCGATTAATCACAGGGCGTGATTGCTCCATGATCGTATCGGCCACCAGCAATCGATGTTGAGGGATGCATGCTACGCCTGGAATGACTTTGGTATTCCTGAATAGACTGTGTTGTAAAATAAATAAAATCAATTTGTGTGCATGACATCCAGTTTTTATATGTGATCAAATGTTTTGCCCTCTTTTCGAAATAAGTGTTCAACAGGGAGAGCTCATGGCTTTCAGCAAATTCCAGAATCCGTACACCGTCTTCGTTTTAAGACTCGTAGCCAAAGCTTCCATGGACACCGTGGAACCCATTTGCTCTATCTCCAACATGGTCGTTGAGGTCACCACATATCAATGGTATCTCTGATGATGGTGTTTTCCTGACGGCATCTGAGAGTGTGTTCCAAAAGTCATTTTGGCGTTTTCAGATTCACCGGTTTTTGGTGCATATGCAAAGAAAACAGTCAGAACCTTTTTCCCCATTCTGAGTTTAATCAGCATTAGGCGTGAGCTGATTCGAACAACCTCCAGTACATTTTGTACCAGTGATTCTCGTATAAAGATTTCCACTCCATTTTGGGCTGTCTTTTGGCCATTCCAGAACAACTTGTACTCCAAATGAAAGAGACATCATTTGATTTCCATCTCGTTTTCTGCAGAGAACAGATGTCAACTCTTCGCCTTTCCAGCATGTCAACGATCTCCATGGAGCGTCCAGTAAGCGATCCAGTATATAAAGTGCCAAGTCTGATATTCCAGGGGGGAACGCCCGATTTTCCGCAATATCTCTCCACTGTTGTGTACTTCTTGGATATTATTATTATTATTATTATTATTATTATTATATTATTATTATTATTATTATTATGTTATTCACTCTATTGTCATTCTTCAGAGGATAGTACTGTGATTGAATGCTTTGTTGAACAAATAACTTTTTAGCTCTCTTCTGTAATCTTTTTCTTGAACAATTTGCTTCAATCTTGTTGGAAGATCATTCCATACCTTAGGCAGAGCAATCTGCACACATCTGTCACCCAGTTTTGTCCTGGTACTAGAAATTACCATCATTTCTGAAGAAACCGAACGCAATGCATGTCCCACATCAACTTCAGTTCTTTTGCGAAAAAGCCGCTTCAGATATTCTGGGCCACCACCATTTATGCAACCATGAGCCACCACGGCCATCTTAAATCTTAACCGTTCCCTGATCAGTAGCCATAATACTTAGACCAATGACCAATCTGGCGGCAGCATTCTGGATTCGTTAAACTTTATTTACTACATTAGCACCATACAACAACGAATCGCAATAGTCTAATCTGGACTGTACAAAAGTCATTTTAGTAAAAATATCAACTGGAAGACATTTCTTGGCCAGATACAATTTTGTAGCTGAAGAAAGCAGATAGCATTGAATTTCGCGACCTGAGGCAACATCATCATAGCACTGTCAAACATCACACCCAAGTTTTTGACCTTGTCAGCCGAGATCAACCAATTACCCTATATATCAAAAGTCATACCTCCTAGTGCATCTCCTAATGTAGATAAAGCCTTCTTAGAACCAAACCATATCGACTCTGTCTTGTCCAGGTTAAGCTTTAAACGATTCAATTTTAACCAATTGTTCACATCAATTATACACCTAATTAAACCACAAGAAATAACTTGAGCATCTTTTATCGGGCCTGCAGAATAGATTTGAAGGTCATCCACATACATTTGAACCTCCAGACAATTTAATGTCTTCTTTTCTTTTTTTGTGATGACATGGAAAATGTTTGGGCCAAAAAATTTGCCCAATTCCTAACGATAACCACCAGTTATAAGCAGTGGACCTAGCCTTTTTGCTGGAAGCACACAAGGCAGCGCGGTTGCAGTTTATCTCGTGCCCAAGAGAGCACTGTTGTAAGCAGTGCACCTACCCTTTGGGTCAAAGGTCCTTTTTCCACAAGGCAGTGGATTTAGAATAAAAGACCGTCCGCTGTTGGAGCCGTTGTCCTAGGATCCTCCGCCTCTTTCACGACTATCCTCTTTCCTCTGGTACAGCTGGTTTGCGGCATCTTATTCGGTATTATTCGATGCAATTCTAGAAGGTCTTCCTGCTCAGGACATTCCCCTATCCACCACCTGGGGACGCGCCTCATAGCTAGTGCACCTCAGCATGAAGAACGCAACGCAAACACAATTTAATAAAATTAAATTAGGATATAATAAAGATGTGATTAAGATGTTATTTCATGTATATCTTAATATGTATGCGACTATTACCGTGGATAATATTGCTATCGCATTTACGTTGAATCACATGATGTGATCATAAAAATGATCGAAAATGTTCGATAATCAGCCACGGATACAGCACACATCGGTTAACGACAAGTCAAAATTTCTGAAAAATATTAGTGTCGACTATGGTCATGTTTTTATCAGAACGAGCTTATCCCAAAAATATGTAGGCTTTTTTTTTATTTTTTAACAGTTAAATAATTGTAATTCATTTAAAATTATATTTCATTTATTTTCCAAATGTTGGCATTTGTAATGTTTGAAATTATTATGATCATATTCATAATTTTACGGGATAAAAAACGCAGGAATGCCGTTTAAAAAAGGGAATGTGAATTTTATGGAAAGTTTTTATACACGGGAATCTGAGAGAGATGATCTAATGAGTTTGGTGGGAATTGGTAACAAATTTCAATTCTCACTTATCTTTTGTTGTAATAATTACGTCCATTAAGAGTTTTTTTGTCTTTTCGCTACTTTGCACAACAGCTGTTCAACAAAGCGGTTTACACAATTGTTCAACAGTTTTGCTTTTAACAACGCTCCCCATATTTCACACCAGGGTGACCTGGTTCAAGCGCGAAGAAAATCTAGCAGACCATAATTTGTTAGAGTTTCTGAAGCTTGCGACCTTCACTATGATTCACTTTCTATGCTTAACACAAGGAATATTATTTCCTATGAATCACACTTATAATATACAGCGCTTGAAATGAATCTCCTCTTGGAAACTTATGGGAAGGAATCAATATGTATTGAACATTCGACTCAATGGACTGTAGAATATTGTTCATCTATACACTCAGTTGATAACTGGGGCAGTGGATGTTACCAAGTAAAATCAAACTAATTTTAATTTTTATAAATTAAATTAAGGTTAAATTTAAATTAAGTTCATATTTTCATTTATGTACCATAAATGAAAATATGAACTATTTTGATTCACACAGAAACGATTTTCAGTTTTTTGTTGTTTTTTTTACAAAATTTTTAGCCCGTTTATCGTTCAATTCCTGTCGATGTCTCAATCAATCAATCAATTAGCTTATAAAGCGCTATTTCCGCGATGTTCAACAGCGCTCCTCAATGAATTTTGCAAACAGATGGATCTTGAGTTACGCTCTGAACTTCGCAAGTGATGGAAAAGTAGTCAGAGAAACTTTTCAAATTATACAAATTTCTCTACTTACTTTGATAGCTTTTTGTATTCTCATCTAAAACGACTTGAATTAAAATTCCTAACTTTAAGATTGTCCGTAATATGGTTTGAATTTTAAAAGTTTTTCACCTTGTACCATGTTTTGAAATAGAAAATAAAAAAATGCTTTTATCAATAATAATACTGTCATGTATATTTTGACAAAATTTCAAAATGGAATATTTTGTATTATAGATTTATTGAATTTTACTGTAAATTTAGCCGTAAATTAATTGTCTCATTTCTATTGAATAAACTGTTTTATTCAAACATTTCTATTTTGTCATATACTTTTTGTGAGCGATTGTGGAAATGTTATGGCGACCTCGATTGCTTCTTAGCTTATTTTGTCTTAGCTTCTTATTTCTTAGCTTATGTTTTGGGCTTTGTTTTTTTGAATGAGAGATTGTCGAGCCGGAAGATAGGTAATGATACATAGATGACGCCGAGGTCACCTTCCCTCCTTGCTTGTGGATGTGGGCGCACTTTTGATCTTTGTAGTTGCTTGCGGTCGTGGTTTTTATTGGATGTGAATGAATCTCTGCGGCTGAGATTTTAAAAGTTTCCGATGCGCAAGTCTTTTCAGACGCTTGCATTTAATTCAATGATTGTAAATTAAATCCATCTATTTTATATTGGCAATAATAATAATAAATTTTCAGTACGTATGTTTTCAAAATAATCTGGGCCTAATTTTGAACAATATTTTACATTGGTGCCATAATGCAAAAGATGTAATTCGTGTTACTACTTCTACATCGTTCTGGTTTCATAAAGGATCACTCGTGTGTCCTGATATTTCAAAAATATGCAAAGTTAGTAATAATAGTAATTTTTTTATTGTTTACTTAAAGGTACGAACGACACACTCAGCGTTTGCGTATACGTATGACTGAAGGCATGACAGCCTGCGTATGAATGGTGGGAATCTCTGCATTGTAATCCGGTCACTGCCACGCAGGGTCGTATATATTAATATTATGCTAAAATCCTTTTATTTAAATTTTACGAAATATTTGCTATTTTAATTTGATTAAATCTAGAACAATTTTTTTTCATAAATTGTTTTGTCAATTTTTATTCGTCTTTAGAACATTTTTCCAACTACTTTTAAAAATACACCTCCATTTGGAATTTTTAAAAACTTCATTTTTCAACTAATTCTTGATCGTCATTTTTCTTAATTTCTTTTTTCATTTTATGGTAACAACGATAATTTTGTTATTTCTATATTGTTTCTAATTATTTTCGTTTATCTATTTTCTACCTGTATTGCCATATCACTGAAGTTTTAATATTACTGTTATTATTTCCTAAATAATTTATTTATACTTTATTATGTTAGAACCTTTTTTGTTTAATATGTCATTGGTATTCATTTGAACTTGTAACTTGTAATTCAGTTTGCGAATTACATGTAGATATATTCTGTTTTTCTAATTTATTTCAGTTATTTAATGCGGCAATTTCAATATCTGTTTTCACTGTTTATTATTTTTGTAGTTTTTTTAATTTTTTTCTGTTTAGGTGGCCCAACTAGTTAAGTTTTTGTATTGACGTTAGAAACTTTATTGGAAGTAAGAACAGCAATGACATTACACGTGCATTATATTTGGTGTAAGGAGGTCCCAAACAGTATGTGTTTGTGTATTAGGTAAAAGCTAAAAATTTAATGACGCAAACTCTACTAAGTCAATGTACTGGTCAATTAACGATATTTCAATTTCCATGTATAACTCAACATTTCACCATTTATTTATTGTCTTATTCAATTACATTTCAAATGTAATTTTTAATTTTATTTTACAAATTTTAATATCTTTCATTTTTTATGCTATTAGTATGATATTAGCCGAAATCAAACCTAAAGATGTAAAGTTAAACTGAAAATTTTCAACCAAACGTTTTACTAATTGAATTATTTATTCTTAAAAACTGTTCACATTATTTTGCAAATTTATTTTGCATAATTAAATAAAAGCTAGACTTTGACTTAGTTTTAACTCTAGAGCTTGCTCAAAACTTGTACTCATTGTCAAATATGTCGGACTGATCCTAGCGGAGACCAAAATGGGGCACCGTACGTGGGCGGCCAAGTTTAAGGTGCGGCCAAATATTTATTCGTTCAATAAAGAAAAAAATGTCGAATGTACAACACTCAATCAAAATAAATTTTGACATAGTTTTTGGAGATATATTTTGCAAATAAGAACTTACATTCATACATATCAATGCGTATATCATATAGGTAAACATCCAAAACCAAATATATTTAATTACAAGTCTGAAGAAAATTATTTATTTTTTTTATACTTTAAAATGTGTTCTCTGTCAAATGCAGAAAATGTTATAACATGCAAGAGAATATGGAAGAAACGAGGAATGAAATGACATTAAAATAAATTTAATAAATAATAAATACTAATAAATTTAAAATTTGCGTAGACGATAATAAATAATTAATAAAATAAATTGAAGTTGATTGTTTTATAAGTAAAATAGAAAATAATAGATAATTACAATAAAAAATATGCATAATCAGTACCGCCGAGAGGGGGGGGCAAGGGGGGCAAATGCCCAGGGGCTCGGCGATATTTAGGGGCCCGGCGATATTGAAGAGCCCGGCGATTTTTAAGGGTCTGTCGATTTGCAGGGGCCCGAGCTGTTCTCGTCACTCAATTCATGAAAATATTTTCACTGCAATAAAATGGATATTATTGTCTAGTTTTTTTAAACTGAACTTCAATCAAAATTAAAATCAAATTAAACCTCAAATATCTGTAGGTTGCAGTGTTTGGTTTTATTTTATTTTGTATCCGTTCGAGTATTAAGTAACACAAAAACGGCTTTTTTCTCTCTCAGTAACACTTTCTTACGTAACAACAATATTTTCTGCAATAAAATCATAATCTGTACAAACCCTTTCTATTAATCAATCAATCAATCAATTATTTATATTTATATAGCGCAGTTTATTATAAACTGTTTATAAAATTAAAATGAAAATGTGAAATAACACAGTATAATTTGTTCCATAAATCTGCACTGAAATATACGAAATACGTGTTTTCCATGAAAAAATAAAATTTTTGATAAATTTAAAAAGAAATTATTTTTTTTTACATAAAAAATATTTTACGTAATAAATTTCAAAACCCCTCCTCCCCTATTATAACACTTCATAAGGAAATCTTAGTTAGATCCCCTTCTTACGGATCGCTACATAATAGTGAACGGCCCCTATATTTGATATGACATTTTCAATATTTTTTATATTGTAGACGCATAATAAAACTCCTCACTGATCTCAGCACTATCATATGCTGAAATAAATAAATTGAACGACCAACGACTCACACAACTAGAGAATAAATAACTTACGCCAAACCATTGAATTAAAATTCCTATATGTAATTCAATGGTCGCGCGCTACAATTTAAATTAGCTTAATTTAGTTTTCAAAATTTTAAGCCTACGTAATGTACTACATAACTTTATGTATTACAACATAATTATGATTTTCTAATATTATCTTGCTGAAGATATATATCATTTATATTCATTATTTATAATCTATGATCTTTACTTACCAATTTTTGAACACGCCCACATCAGGCCACTTCTGTTTGAAAAATTTTTGTGCGAAAATTGTAGTGTTTAAACTGCTTTTAAAATAAACAATCATAAAATATTAATAAATTAATATTGTTTAATTAATTATGGAATACAAACATAAATCGGGCTCAGAAAAGCGGAAGAAAAAAGCTACTGCTTTGGAAAACGACAAAATCGGTAGTCGTTCGTTATTTCAATTCGGAATCATTAAAGAAAAAAACAAAACAAAGACAGCCGTTAATTTTCCTACTTCGGCTGAGTCTCCTGACTGTCCGGTAGGGCTAGAATTTTCAGAATCGCACTGATTGGATGAAAATGGAAATAGCGATATCCAAACTCAAAATAATGACAGTGTAAATATAATAAAAGATAATGATGCCTCTGTAAACATAGAAACTGTTGAAAGATTTGGATTTGACGTTGGTACTTTGCCAGCCGGGCCAATACCCACACAGACTATAGAAACCGTGATTCGAAACGGTCCACCTAGACACCCGGACAATTTTCCGGGAGATGGACAAAGAGCTTTTCCGACGTGCATTTTAAAGGTGTCCAGACAAAATGGAAATGTTTGTGAAAGGGATTGGTTGGTATGGAGTAAAGAAAAAGAATCCCTGTTTTGTTTCCCATGTAGATTATTTAGTGAAATTGCCGTATCTTGCCGATCAATTTTGTCAAGTGATCAAGGATGGTCAAAACTAAAAACATGGCGTAAAGTTTACGATAAAATACCAGCTCATGAAAAAAGTGACGGTCATAAAAAATGTTATATAAAGTGGCGCGATTCAGAAAGAAGATTTCTCTTTGGAAAGAATATAGAGTCTCAGATTGATAAAGAAATTGCTACAAAAGTAAAATACTGGAAAGAATTGCTTAAACGAATTTTAGCAGTGGTTTTATTTTTGGGTGAAAGAGGACTTGCATTCAGAGGTTCTTCCAACAAAATTGATGACCATGATAATGGAAATTTCCTTGGGATTATAGAACTGTTAGCTCAGTTTGATCCGTTTTTACAAGAGCATGTTTCTAAAGTTCAAAAATCTCAAAAACTTGGACAACGCCTTCAGGTTCATTACTTATCAGCAGATTCTTAAAATGACTTTATCGAAGCATGCAGCTCAAAAGTTATTCAAGAAATTTTGGCAGAGAGAGAAAGGTCTAAGTATTTTTCAATTATGGTAGATGCTACACCAGATTGTTCTCATACAGAACAAAGTACTTTCATTCTGAGATATGTACAAAACTGCAACTCAACATTTTCGGTCAAAGAACGTTTTTTTGCATTTGTTGATTATAACAAAAAAACTGGCCAGGATGTTGCAGATATGATCAAATATGAACTGGAGAAAAACAAAATTTCTCTGGATGACTGTCGAGGTCAGGGATACGACAACGGCTCAAATATGGCAGGAAAGTTCAAAGGAGCACAAGCAATCATTGCACATGCATATCCTCTAGCGAAATTTTCAAATTGTGGCGCTCATAGTTTAAATTTGTGCGGTATGCATGCAGCAGAATGTTGCAATGACGTTATAACTTTTTTTGGAATAGTTCAAAAGTTGTACAATTTCTTTGCGTACAGTCCTCAACGATGGGAAATTCTACAGAGATTAACTGGATGCTCACTGCATAATCTTTCTCAAACTAGATGGTCGGCACGTGTGGAAAGTGTGAAACCGATTGCGAAGCACCTGCCAATTATCAAACATGCTATTATTAAATGTAAAGAATTAAATTTGTCATCAGAAAGTTAGACTGAATTGCAAGGAATTGAGCGTTATATGGAATCATTCAAGTGTGTTTTAATGGCTACAATATGGCTCAAAGTTTTAGTTGCTATAAACAATCGAAACAAAATTATTCAAGCCAAAGAAGCCACATTGGATGTAGAAGTAGAAAACATCGACATTCTTCTTGGGGAACTGAAGGATCTACGTGAAAAATGGGACTTATTGCTAGCAGAAGCCAAAATAACAGCAGAAACTATGTCGTCGGATATTTCATGTGAAACAGAACTTCCAGAAAAACGCCAAAAACGACGAAAACGTTTTTATGATGAAAATCAACATATGCCAGAAGAAAGTGCACAACATGAAGTGGATGATGATTTTAAAGTGAACGTTTTCTATAAACTTATCGATAGTATAATATCTGGTTTAACAGAGCGTTTCCATATGGCTAGAAATATTAACAATTCTTTCTATGTTTTGTGGTTATTTACAGAACTTGGAGAAAGTGATCTGGAAAAGAAATGTTCTAATTTCTGCAAAGAATATGACAA